ACGTTTTAATAACAAAGTTTAAAGCTAACTTGACGATAAAAATCTGAGGTTATGCAAGTTCAAAATCGCTGATAATTGTTATTTGAATGTAAATAAAATATACCATGTATATTATCACTCATGCAATCACGTATTATTAATTTTTTAGCTCAGAAAAGTCATATATATAGCTTCAAGATTCAGTTTCTGTTTATATGTATACATGTATATATATATTTTAATTTACAGTTATTTTGATCCTCATGTCGTCAATAAAAATGTGTAGAATAGATAATATTACATGTATACAGCAGCTAATCATAAATAACAGATATATGTACCTTACAATTATAGAAGGACACTCTATACAATCCAAGATAGAAGTACTCGTGTAGCTATGTGTTACCCGTGTGACGTGGGTAGTGGATATTTTAGCTTAAATAAATCGATTTTTCTGCAGCTGTAACTGTTCGCACTGAATTTCCTGTATGTTCCCAACAAACATGATAAATGATAAAGCAAAGCAAGGTAAAAATAAATGTAGAAAAAAAATTATATAAAAATTACAAAGAGAGATGGCATATATCTTTATAGGATGCTCAGAACTTTCTTCTAATGTAATGCTCAATACAACGAATTTACACATTTTGAGAGAGGATTAATCATCAATCGTTTTTTGCAATGATGTCAATGTTTTTGTGTACACATGGGACTTCAAATTGCGCTATCCTAGATTTTCTATATCTATTTGCTCACAGGAAATGGGGTGATATATATAATACTGATAGACGCCTCATGGGGGAAATTCAAAACTTTATATCAATGACAGCGATGGGGTAATGGTAATGTGTAATGGTAATTGACTGTAATTAATTACAAATTTCGATGTAATTGAAAGTAATGTGTAATTGACCAAATTTTCAATTAAAAGTAATGGTAATTTAATTAATTACTTTCCAAAAAGGTATGTAATTCACAATTACTTTTCAATTACATTCAATTACACTGGTTTTAAATAAATGAAAAATAGTCTCCTCTCCCTCAATTTCATAAAACATTATTTACGAAAGGTTAATAACATATTTTGGACCAAAAATTTTAATAGTAAAATTTCTTGAAAAGAACTTCCCTTCTTATGTCAATTGTTGTTTAAATACAATGCCCCTTTTCATTTAAAAAAACACTTTTAAATCAAAGTGAGCCAATGCTCACTAGTAATACCCCCGCTCTGGTAAAGCACTATCATGTTAATATACACAAGTTCAATTACAGGCAAATGCACAGGAAAATATGAAGTTGACATCAGATTCATATCAAAATTAATCCCACCATATGGCAGGCCTCAACAAAGACACAGACAGACAGACACACAAAGGTAAAACAGTAAACCCTCCTTTCCCACCATGCATGCCTCAGAGAAAACTGCGACGAAAATTTGTTATGTATGAAACCTGTTGTGTTAAAATTTCAAGCATCTACGATGAGTAGTTGCTGAGAAAACTGCGACGAAAAATTTGGAGCACACGGGGGTACACAATTAATCTTTGTAAAGTTTACAAATAAAATTCATATTTTGATTTTTTAATTAATTAATCCATATGAAAACAAGAAGTCCAATGGCTTCTAATCCTTTTGTTGGCCATATCTTCAGCTTGTGTTGGAAGTTATTAACAGGTGCTAATTAATGTCTTGGGGTCATATACTTATTCCTAAATCAACATTTTTCACACCTTTGACTTTGTCTGTTGGTGTTTTTATACATACTCTTTGACTTTAAATTGTAGTTTGGCACAGAATAAGTCAAATACCCACATTTTGAGGTAAACCTATGATGCTGAAATAAGGAAATATAGAGGCAAATTAAAGCATCAAAAGTACATTTAGCATAAATTTATCACTTGTTTATGGGAAACCTTAAAAATGATTCCAAAATTTAACCACATGAATTAAGGTAAAACCATCTGTAAACTTATTACTAGTCAGTATCTACATGTATGCATTTTTCTCACAAATACCCCAGTGGAAAGAATCTTCAGCATGGGGGACACAATATTTGAAAAATGTATGAAGCTTTTAATGATATTATTGTAAAAAATGTAAAATTTGTTATAAATGTAAAGGAATATACATGACTATTTAATACTTTTATACGTGTATTCTTGAATGTAATTTGTAATTTAATTAATTACATTTGCAAAGTACTTGTAATTTAATTAATTACATTTCAAAATCTATGAAATGGTAATGGTAATTTAATTGAAGATTTTGGGAAAGTAATTATAATTTAATTAATTACTTTCCTATGTAATTGACCCTATCCCTGATCAATGACAAGTTACTTTTTTGCATTGTTTTTCTGATTTTACCAGTGCATCATAAATCGAATTGCACTGGTATAAAGTTTAATTTATTTAAGAGTGTCTTTTTAGTGTGGTTAAAATCCCACGAGAAACTGAATTTTCCAGCAGCAGTCCTAATATATATCTGTTGAGACATGCTACTTGAAAAAACTAAATTCTAAATTCTAAAAATGCGATACCTCTCCCCAAAACCACCAATAATACTCTGCGTCTTCTCACACAGTTTGGTACATACGAAAACTATGGCAGAATTTGAGGTCTTTAATTTATAATACTCTCATAGCCTCTACCAGAGCAAAATTAGGTTAATTAGCTTTACGAAGTTTTTTCAATACCAAGCATGTTCAGTTTCGGAATCTGGCAGCTTTCTTGATTCCCCTTCCTATAAATGTGATAAAAATAAATGACGCCGCTTCGGTAACTATTGTCTTTCGGTTAAGAAATACCAGTTTCTGTTGTCTTTCGGTAAAGACATATCGGTTAACCATTGTCTTTCGGTAAAGACACATCGGTAGCTGATGTCTTTCCGTTCAGACACATCGTTTTACTGTTGTCTGTTGGTCAAGACACATCGGCTACTGTTGTTTTTCAGTCAACGCACACTGGATACTGTTTGCGCTGTCTTTCGGTAAAGATATATATCTTGGTTAACTGTTGTCTTTCGGTCAAGACATATCGATTATCTGATGTTTTTTCCCGCCAAAACAATCGGTTTACTGTTGTCTGTTGGTCAAGACGTATCGGTTTACTGTTTCTTTCGGTCAAAACATATTGGTTATTGTTGTCTTTCGGTCAAGACATTTGGCTTTCGGTCAAGAAGGTTGTGCTCGTTCTGCCCACAGGTCGTGGATTGACCATCATTGAAAGCAGTTGTCAGTACCAAGAAAATAAAGCTATTTTGTAAATGACACTAGTAAGTTTCAGGGACATGGAATAACTGAATCATCAAAAGGGATATATTTTTCTTTCATAATTTAATTTAACTACAAATATATATACGAAGTATAAAAATCACAATAATAAATTGTACAACAATATATAGGCACATAAAATACAATACAGTGGACCTTCAGATATCCGGACGCCAGATATCCGGATGCTTCAGTATCCGGACGATTTTTTCATCGAAACGGACTTTTTTAATGTTATTTTATCTTGTTTAAATGGTAATTCAGATATCCGGACGTTTCACATATCCGGACAAATTAACTAAGAACCAAAGCGTCCGGATGAATGAGGCTCCACTGTATTTATATTGAAATTAAAGTTTTCTGCTGTAGTGACAACCTCGACTAAATAATAACCACACAACACTGAAAACAAGCCTATACAAACAGAGTCTCGGTCACAGACATGGCTACAGAGTCCGCCCTATAATTACGAGGGTTGTTCGAAAAGTTCGTGGACGGTGTCAATCTTCGTTATACTACTTTCAAGAAATTTAAAGTAAACACAATATATTGTGTAAAAATACTTGTTTTGTTGATATGTAAAGTTTAATTACATTCAATTAAATAGAAATCAGTTTATTTCATTTTAAAATCAACATGTTTTGTAACCGCGTACTTAACGGCAATGTAACGTCTGAAAAATGCTATCCCTTTACATTTCACACAGTACAGTTCAATAATCACTATAAAATCCTTTTCCAAATACTCGACATTTATTTGTCTAATATTTGTTTTCGTTGTATAATTTCCTTTGTCAATATTTTTATTTCTTTCACAACTCAACTATTCTTTCACAAGATCAGCAACTCTGAAGCGCCCATGTCTTTCCATGACCTTCCAAATTTTAAAGCTTTTGATCAGATTTTACCAGATAAACTGTTTCTTCAAAGATTGTCCTCGTCCGATACTGAATCTATGTCACGTTTGATTTACTTGAGACATAATTTTTCATGCCTTTAACTTTTTTAGAGTTTATTCAGGATTTTTCTCGACTATAAAACAAAATTGCATTGTTAACTGCTGCTACATGACGTTCAACAACGTCATCATTTTTGTCGCTTTCAATGAGGACTACTTATCCTCTAAAATTGATTTCTTTTCAACGGAGCACAATATTAATGTTCGGAATATGAATCAATGGAACAGCTCTAAATTTTAAAAGTCTGTGATTTTTGTTGTTGTTTCATTTTACAGAGAATATGACTACAGATATTATCATATTCATTTAGTGTGTTGTTTGTGAATTACTAAATTTTGACCTGCTGCTCGATCTGATTTTTGCATTTTTAAGTCATGGATAGGATTGAAATAAATTATGATAATTTTCAAAAATTTTAATACAAATCATTTAAATTTATTGTTAAAATATTACCAAATTTGGAAAGCATATGACGTTAAATAAAAAAAAAAGATCTGACGGGTGTCCACGAACTTTTCGAACAACCCTCGTACAATAACCGTCTAATTAGTTTTTTTCAAAAAAAAAGTTTTATACTGTAGTGAGAACCTCGACAACAAAATAACTACATGACACAGAAGAAAGGCCTAAAGACAGAGTCTCAGTCGCAGACATGACTACACAGTCCGCCCTATAATTACAAAAACCGTCTAATTATACAAAAAAGTTTTATACGGTATTAACAACCTCGACTAGAAAAGTAGGTATACGACATTAAAGACAGGCCTACAGATAGAGTCTCGCTAACAGACATGACTACACAGTCCGCTCTATAATGACAATAACCGTCTAGTTTCCGAAGGCTTCGTAGACCATGTCATGTTTGCTCGCGTCGTCGTCTGCAGTGAACTGGGCCCAGGCTTCCACTATATGTTGGACAGTTGGTTGACCCTTTTTAGCCTTGAACAGCTGGTAAGCTTTGCCCACCTGGGCCGAATCCTCTTGACCGAAAACTTTTAAACCGAAGGCGAACTCCTGTTCCTCGATAGGCCGGTCTCCCTTCTCTGCTACAAAGGAAGCGATATCGCCAAAACACCTCGTCATTTCTTGATAGAATGCCACTTTGTCTTTTTGAAATGCTTCTCCTAGGAGGTCCTGGAATTCTTCGAGTGTCAAAGTTACACCAGGACCTTTGCGAAAGATGTAAGTATTCCACCATTTTGTGTTGTCAAATCCCCCATTGTCTTTCACTTTGTCGCCGAGCATTTTCTGTATTTCTTCATACTTTTTGGCAGAAATCTCCATATCTTCTGTGGAAAGTTTATTGTCATGGTTCGCGTCTAAGGATTTGAACCATACAGCCCATTTTGATTTCAGATAATCCATTACTGCTGGAAAAAACAAAAGACATATGATTACTGTAAACCAACTGTTATTCGCGTCATCTTTTATTCGAGATTCATAGTTTGAAAACAATCTGCGACGATTAATTTCCACGACCGAGGAAACATATAATAATAATAATAATAATTGTTTTTTATTTAACGCTTTTCTAGCATAAATGCTACTCAAAGCGCTTTACAATACATTATTATCCCAGCAGACCATAGCAATCCAGAATCTTTCTCAGTGCAAGCTGCCGTAAAGGCGCTAGAACACTAACATTCTGACAATAACTATCACTGTCTATAGCCAGGTACCCCTTTTACACTTGGGTGGAGTGAGGAAATTCGTGTATAGTGCCTACATATCTCTACAAATACTAAGCAAAATGATTGGTTCGCGGCGATTAATATTCGCGAGTTAAAGAACGTCGCGGAAATCGCGAGTATTTCTCGTACACGAATAATAGTTGGTTTACAGTATAGTACTAGGTAAGAACTAATATACTAAATCATTGTAAATGTGCATTGTGATTTAACATTTTAAGCTTTCAGGTATTTCTACTGCTCTTCTAAAAAATATTCCGAACTCGTAAAATGTCAAATTTTCATTTAAATGTATATAAAATTTCCAGCGGAATGTCGAAAATCTTTTCTTGCATGTTGATTAAATACGTACACAATACGGGAAACTTACCTCGATCGGTTTAGAGAAGCCTTGTGCAGCTGGCAGTTGACTTGCCAAATGAAAAAATTCCAATATCAGTATTTTATATGACTTGAATAGTTTTTATTTCTGATTCCAGTGTAAAAACCAGCATGCTAGACTAACCCGCGCGAGTTAAAAAATAACTGTTGTGCTATCGTTTTCTTTTTGTGAAAATATCTGGTTTTCAGTTCCCGTTATGAGCTTTAGAACATAACCTACTTATTCAGCCAATTAAATGCTCCCATTTCATTGATTCTTCATGGTGAAGAATTTTTCTATTTCTGAAATACTTTTGCAGTGGTTGATTGGTTCATTGCAAAGCTATATGGGTGTGTCTTTATATATTGGTTTTATTGTCAGTGAAGAATATAGAAAAAAAGAAATCGAATGTTAAGTAATAACAGACTACGCCCTGTCATGAACGAAAACAGACATAAGAAAATCACATGATTGTGTGTCTCTGGTCTACTTCTGATTTCAAATCATCAAACATTGCAATGCCAATGTACAAATGAAAAAAAATGGTCTTTGTTTTGAATGCATATTGTATCAGAACTATTAATATAAAACAACTATCAAATAAAGACCCTTCCTATTTTCTAGAAACAGCAGAGACGCTTTGACTTATCAACAATTATGAACTCTCATCCTATTCTTTTATCTTATTTCCCGACCTTGTTTTGGTCTATAGACTGATCTGCCACATTTACATATCTTTATTTATTCAAAAAGACTGAGAATGTGACTCCTTACAAAAAATCGGAATTCATGATCTTTCGGTCTTCCTTCAAATTGCGTCTTCCCGTCATTAATGCCTTCATATACTCCACGGATGCTTTGAAAATAGATCCTTTGTTCTGCTTAAAGGCGCAGTAAATAAAAACATTCATTCATTTTAAGTCATTCCTTGACGTGATTGAAAAAAAATATTTTACTTTCGTTTTGCTTATATATTTAGGGCTCCAAAATGGGATGGTCACGCCAAAGTCCGATAGTCTGCGCCAATCCCCAATGGTCTGACACGCAAAAGTCCGATGGTGCTGAAAACAACGTTTATGACGTCATAGTACTACTGCGCCAAACCTCAATGTCGTGCCAGACCAAGGTATCATTATGCGAAAACTTACCCTAATCTCTCAGTTAGGTAAGAAACTAACCCTAATTGTTCGAAAAGTGTGAAACAACTATAACCTAGATATCTTGGGTGGATGCAAGGACTAACCCTTAATCTCTCGGGTTGGAAAGAAGCAAGGACTAAACCTAGTCCAGTCAGTCGAGTGGTGTGTGAGAACTAATCCTAACATCCCTGGAAGGTGCAATTAAGCAATATGCAAAATCAATAAAATTGAATGCGAGGACGAATTCAAAGATGATAGCTTTTGAATGAAGGACAACGGAGTCAAATATTAACATCGAATTATTGTGACGTCATCAATTTTAAATGTTTCTCCGCGCCATCGGACTTTGGCGTGTCAGACCATCGCCCTCTAGCACAGCGCGTCTCATAGGAAACGAGCCATCGGACTTTGGGGTCCGTATCGACAACAAACCATCGGGGTTAGGCGCAGACCAATGCGGTTTGGCGAGACCATCGGACTTTGGCTTCACCATCGGACTTTAGAGTCTTATTTCAATAGCTTTTAAAACTTGATTTCTGATCGTTATCTCCCTATTTCATATAGAAAATCATTGTCTTATGACAAGCATAATTCAAACGGAAAACACTCAACAGTTTGACTGAAAGAAATACGGGGTTTATATCTCTCAGCTGATTCGATGCGCAAGAGCATTCTCGACATATGTAAAATTTCTAAAAAGAGGTAAATTATTGACAAATAAGTTAATAAAGCAGGAATATCATGAGTTGTTTAAAGGGACAAAGACAAAGTTTTTTTTTAAATGAAACATATGGAGGTAACAAACAGTATTCAAGATCAAAAGTCCAAAAAACAATGCAAAATAGGAGCAGGGCAAACATGCACCTCGAAAACATCAGAGGTGGGATCAGGTGCCGACCGGTCACATCCGCTGTGTTGTCATGAGCGGGAAATAACGGGAAAATCCGCGGTCAATTTACTGTATAAATAATGGACCAACAATAAGTATGAAAAACTTTAGTCAGAATTTGACTCAATGATAAATTGCATAATTTGCTGACAAGATCATTGCTAGCGCTATCTCATGTGATTCCTCCAGTACTTTCCAGTGATTCGTAGAATTACAATCAAACTTCAACTTCCACGTAAGTCTCGTTTAATTTTCAATTACAAGGTTAACAAGGCACGTGCCTTGTTGTACCAGCATTTTCTGAAGAAAGTTCGGTTATATTGTTATTGTTTACATATAGTAAATATTTAATTCATGACAAAACGAGATTCAGGAAATCACTAGGATCTGTCAAATCTTATTTAGAACTACAACTTCTTTATTGAGAAATTCTGCTTTGAACGAACATATATTAGTATATTTAACCTATGCAAACAAAAACATGGCACGGGCCTTGTTTATATTACAAAGGTTTGGAGCTCTAAATCTGTCTTGTATCTCAACAACTGAAATTCAAATTTTTGATGATCATTAGACATACCTTAGTAAGGTATTTATAAATATAAAAAACTGAAAAATAATTTTTGAAAATCTAATGCTGAAACTGTGTCAATGCTTCTTTAAAGTCATCATGTCGTAAGTTCTATGGTCGATACTATGATCTTGTCAGCAAATACAATTTATCATTGAGTCAAATGCTGACTGAAGCTTTTCATACTAATTGTTAGGCATTCATTCATATACTGAATAGACGACGGATTTTTCCGTTATTTCCAGGTCATGACAAGGAGCAAACGGCCGATTGACCCGTCGGCAGGGGATGATCATTCCTCCTTGGCACCTGATCCAACCTCTGATGCTTAAGAGGTCCATGTTTGCTCTGCTTCTATTTTGTAATTTATTATGGATTTTTGAGCTTGAACTGTTCGTTTTCTCTATATATTTTATTTGCTTTTCCAAATAACTTGAGAAAAAGAAAACAAGAAGTCCAAGAGCTTCAACGATCACCTAAGTATAATGTAACACTTTAAACATTAACATAAAATGAAACCAAATAAGCTGATAAATGACGATATGTTGCCAAAAGGAAGAAAAATAGAATGATAGAGATCAACAAAAGAAATAAATTACTGCTCTGTAACACATCAATTAGTTGATCTGTTTACTTGTGTCTCCGTTTGTAATATCCCCATGTAGACTAAACAGGACAGTAGTTCTAGTGCTTTTAGTAAACTTATCATATATCCTCTTACATTGGTTTCTCTAGGTCTTTGAAGAACATTTAATATACATGCACAAAGGCATTTGTCACATTTTTATTTATTTATTATTTACGAGTCTATTTAAAGATTTGAAGGAGGACTTTAAAATTAAATGTTATTGTAATCCTTGTATATATATCACGACTTACATTGACCTTTAAATGACATTATCTACAATGTTAAATAGTCAAAGGGGAATAGCAACGTGGAATACCTACTTTCAGTAGAATGTAAATAAGTAAATTAACCAAGTGGTGCAGAATATAAAAATATGGTAAAATATATACTTTATGACTTTATATATTCTCTTTTCTGCTGACAGACGTTTTTCATACTAATTGTTAGTCCATTATTTATACACTGAATTGACGACGGATTTTTCCGTTATTTCCTGATCATGACAAGGAGCACACGGCGGGTGTGACCGGTCAGCAGGGTATGCTCATTCCTCCATGGCACCTGATCCCACCTCTGATGTTTCGGAGGTCCGTGCTTGCTCTGCTCCTATTTTGTATTGTTTTGTGGACTTTGATGTTGAATGCTGTTCGTTGTCTCCATGTCCTCCTGTTATATACACGAGAGAAGAGACAATTTTCAAAGAAACAATACATTTCACTATAGAATCAATATACCAAAGCCCCCAACCCAACTGACAAGAAATTCACAATGTTGGAAAAGGCATCCTTGCTCATTTTAATCATGCACTTATTGCTTAATACCTATGGACAGAGAAGACGGTTTAAAAAAAAATAGACATTTACCATATATTCAAAGGAGCATAACCCTAACATTAAAACCCATCTCCCAGTTGTTAATTTCTTATTTATTTTGATTTTTAAAATCACATCCTTGCTCATCATAGCAATGCAAAAAGTCGGAAGGCTGGTTATTCAGTAGTAGAAAAGATTTTTAAAGAAATAACGAATTTTCACTTCATACTAAACAACATCCTTGCCTCCCAGCTTGGAATCTCTGACCTTGATGTTGCAAATATCACAAGAAGC